GGTTAGACCTGTATCCATTTCTCCCCACCTGCACTTAAGAGTGGCTGGAAAACAAAACACTAGCCACCCTAAATGACCTCCCTTTAAATCCATGACTTGGACCTTAAGGGGGGCCTTGATACTGCCTTGCAAATCTGGTACAGGCAGCTGGGGGTCATTGTCTCTCCCAAGTTGTTGAATTCATACTTCTTCATCTTTCCTCCAACCCCAGCACATCTCCCTACTCTTCTCTCTCAGGTGACAACATTGCTTCCTATTTCTCTGGTAGCCATGGGGAAAAGCCTCCTACCATTTTATTTGTACAATCTACCTGCCTCCGAGGGCCTCTCCCTCCACCTGTACACTGACCCTCACACCCCTTGGTTTCTCGTTGCTCCTTCTTTCTTCCTCCTTGTCAATTTCCCCTGTCTTCTGGATAATTCCAACCACATACACACTTGGTCTTACAGAAACTAGCCTTAAAAAAAAAACAAAAACAACTTCCCTTGATTGCACACCTGCCCCCAGTGCCAGCCATATTTCCCTTCCCCTTTTCTAACAAAATGCCATGAAGGACTTTCTCTACCTCTTTTGCTCTCATGTTCACACATCACTCCAGTCAGGCATTTGTCCCAAACATACCAACAAACTTACTTTTGTCAAGGTCACCACTGACCTTCATGTGGTCAACTTCAAAGTTAATTCTTGGTCCATATCTTAGTTGACCGATCATCAGCACTTGACACAGCTGACAAAGCCATTGTCCTTGAAAGACTTTCCTCTCTGACCTCCAGGGCCTCTCTCACGTGGCTGCCTCCTGACATGTTGACGGAGTCCTTGCCTGCTGCTCCTGGTCCACCTCTGCTCACCCTCTTCTCACGCTACACTCCTTGGAGGATCTTACCTGGGTGGCTATCTTTAAAAAAATCATCTACGTTTGTTGATTCTTGCATTTCTACGTCTAACCCTTAGCTGACCTCCTCTGCGTTCAGGCTAGTTTATGTTACCTCTGGCTTAGTATGTGGCTGGATGTCCTTTAGGCACCTCCCATCCAACATGACCAAAGCTGAGGTCCTAACGGCCCTCCCAGGTCTGTCCCTTTCAAAGCCTTCCCACAGCCCACCCTTCTAGTTTCTTAGGTCAAAACTTGGGAGTTATTCTTTGTTCCTTAATTTTTCTCAAACCCCACATCAAGTCAAAAATTTGCTGGATTCTCCTTCAAAATATATCCAGAGTCTGAGCGCTCTCCCATCTCCACCTGACTACCCTGCCACAATGTTGCCTCTCTCCTGGAGGGAAGCCTCCCTGCTTCTACCCTGGCCCCCCTATAGTCCGTTCTTCACATAGTCCTTTGCTTAACTCCTCAGTGGCTTCCCACCCGACTGAGAGGGGGACCCAAGGAGGCCTCACTTGAGCTGGTGCCCAGCAGGCCCCTCACACAGCCCTCCCACCTCTCCCCACTCACTGCACTCCATTGTCGGCCCCTCCCTGTTGCTTGAACAAGCCAACTATGCTCCTGCCTCTCCATCTTTGTCCTGGCTGTGCCTTCTTTCTGGAATGTTCTTCCCTCAAATTGGCATGGTTTCTGTCTCTTATTCAGATCTCAGTTTGTATTCCCTCTTCAGTGAGTCCCTTCTTGAGTCCTTTCAGTGAGTCCCTGTTTTCTGTTTCACATTCATTGCAATCCCCTCCACAATTCCCTATCACATGATGCTATTTTACTTTTTTTTATAGTACTTACCATTATCAGAAAGAATTTACTCTTATGTATTGTCTGTCTTCTCTGCCAGAATGAAAGCTGTATGGTAGCAGCAACTCTGTCTCCAGCTGCCAGCACATAGCCTCCCGTATGGTTGCCAGGGCTGCCCTGGAAGGGTGTAAAAGTTATTTACTGCACCAGAGTCCTGGCTGAGGGACTGTGGGTGCTGAGATCCAGCCTGCGCTCTGTGCTCCAGGTGGTGGGCATCTGGCAGGCCGCCTCCTGCTGGTTTGCCTTGTGTGCTGTGCAGGCTGGCTGTGGCTCTGTAGTGGCTGTCATTGAAAATGACTGATAGATGTGCAGAACGTGACTTGTTTTCTTCTATAGGAGATCACTTAAATTACCTTCTCATGGTCTCATATTCTTCATCTATGAAGGGGATAATTAACATCCTTCTCATAGTACAGTTAATGAGGATTAAATGAAATAGTTCATTAAAAAGATGAAGCAGATTTGATTATATTTGTGGATATGATTATATTTGTATACACTGTCATCCGTAGCCATCCTCCAATAGGCAAATTCATAGACAGAAAGCAGATTAGTAATTCCTAGAGGCTGGGGGGAGGGGAAAAGGAGGTGTGACTGCTTAATAGGTAGGGGTAACATTTTGGTGGGGTGAAATGTTTTAGAACTAAAGTGATGGTTGCACATATCCTGAATGTAATAAGTACCACTGAATTGTGCACTGAAAATGACTAAAATGGTGAATTTTTTGTCATGTGAATTAGTTTATGTGATGTAGATGCCTCAATTAGAAAAAAAAGAAAAGAAAACATGGCATGTTGCCCAGGACATCACAATGTTAAGTGACTATCTTTTGAGTTCTACTATATGATTTTCTTTTTTTTTTTTAATAGAGGCATGTTTTATTTGTTTGTTTATTTGTTTGTTTTGTTTATACAAGCACTGGGTACAGTCAGAAGCGCGGGAGGGTGAGAGAATTCACCAGAGCCAGAGCGGGGAGCAGAGCAGGCAGAAGGACCGAAGTACACTGCTGAGGGGAGCAGCGGGCGGCAGGAGAGGTCTGCGCGCCATGTGGGACCCTCCTCCGGTGGCTGGGGAGCAGCCGGGGATCGAACCGGCGCCACAGAGGCTGCAGGCAACTTCGCAACCCAGCGCTCAACCGCTGCGCCACCAGGGAGGCCCTACTATATGATTTTCTTGCATCAATATCAAAGCAAAAATCCTACACCTTTGACTGCTCACTGCCCCACCCAGGTTAGTATTTCCCTCCTCTCATCCATTTATTTCAGAAGTATTTATCGTTGCTATTTCATATCTTGGGGATAGGAAGGGCAACAAGAGCAAAGCAGACCCTACCCACAGTTTGTGGGCTCAGAGGGGGGCCTGCCAAATAAAGAGAAAATCACAGTACTATGGGAGAGAAAGTCCAGATTGGGGGGGAGCAGTAGGGCAGAGTCAGGAAGAAGGGACCCAGACTAGGGAGTGTCCGGTAAGACTGGTCTAGTTAAAGGGGCAGTTAAACTGGAGTCTGAGTGATGGTGGGTTTAGGAGGAATAATCAGGAAGCAGGGAGATGGGCATGTTGGGGGAGGAGCTGGAAGTGAAGGTTGGGGGGAGAGTAGGGATCCCAAGAACAGGGCTAGAAAGCCTGGGAGGTGAGAGCATGGTGGGTTCTAGGAATAGAGAACAGTTCAGGGGCCTCCCTGGTGGTGCAAGGGGTTAAAGCACCGCACTATAAAGCAATCTGCAGCCTCAGCAGTACGAGTTCGATCCCCTGCCAGCCAGGGAGCAACCCACATGGCAAAGCAGACCTCTCTGGTCCTGCACCCCAGCTCTTGTATACATAAATAAATTTTTTTTAATATTAAAAAAAATAGAGAACAGTTCAGTTTGGAGTGGCTGGGGGGAGAGCGAGGGAGGGACCACTGGTGGTCAGAGCCCAGCTTCCACGCTGAGATATTGTAGGTCCTCTGGGAACTGCCTCTGCTCTCTAGCTGCACTTCTACCGTGGCCACTCATAGCTCCTGGCTGCAGCCTTTGCTCCGGCTGTGTCTTGTGAATCCCTGTGGACTCTTGCACCGGCATGACTTAGCTCAAGCAACCATTCCCCAGACTTTTTTTTTAAAAAAAGATTTATTTATTTATGCACACAAGAGCTGGGGTACAGGCCAGAGATGCAGGGTGGGGAGGGGTAAGAGGATGCACCAGAGACAGAGTGGGGAACAGAACAGGCAGGTTGACTGAAACACACTGCTGAGGGGAGCAGCGGGCGAGACAGGAGAGGTCTGCTGCGCCATGTGGGTTGCTCCCTGGCGGGCTGGGGATAGAACTCGTGCTGCAGAGGCTGTGGATTGCTTCATAGTGCGGTGCTTAACTCTTTGCGCCACCAGGGAGGCCCCCATTCCTCAGACTTTTACCGAGAATTTGCCCTGTGTAAGGTGCTGCGAATCCATAAACTGCCCAAACTCGGCTCCACCCTGGGGCAGAGGCGGCACAGAAGGAAATAATTACAAGATTGGTAGATAAGGGCATTGATCTCGAGTGCTGAGCTGGGGAAGAAGTTGACCTGGTAGGGGTGGGATTAGAGGGGGTGGAGGCGGGGCGTGAGGGGTGGAGGTGGGGCTTGCGGGACTGCAGAGGACTCGGAAAGGTGACTCCTGAGCTGAATCATAAAGGACCAGGAGGCACTAGCCACGGGGACGAGAAAGGCAAAGGGAGAAAGGTTCAGAGCCTAATTTTGTGTGGTCACAAGATCCTTGAGATCCAGGTGAGGCTTGAACCCTCAGTTCAGGTAAAACAAACCCCTCAAGGGGCCAAAAGGCCTCTGAACTCACACTCCGCATGGACCTCCACATCTCCCCCACCCCCACCCCGTGCAATTTTGCGAGTCCTTGGTCCTCGGCTTTGCCTGGCGGACAAGCCCTCCCTACTGCCCTCTGGTTCCGGTTCACCGAGGCCGGCGGCCTGCACAGTCCCGCTCACTCTGGACTTTGTACCTGTCATGCAAATTCGCGTGAGCAAGCTCGAGCGGTAGCCTGCTGAGGTGTGTGCCCCTTCTAGGACCCGCTGGACCCCTCTCTGGATCCCAGGGGCACCATCACCCCACCACTGGGGGCGGGGGCGAGGCCTGCGGCAAGGTCCTCCGCACACGCGAGGGAAGAGGTAGAAACCGTCCTCCCGCCAGGAGGCGCTGCCTGCTGCCCGGCCCTCCGCCCTCACCTGCGGCTCCAGCCCCGCCTGCTGCGTCCCCAGGTGAGTCGAGCGGCCGCTCGGCCCGCCCACCCGTCCAGGTCTGGTCTGCGCCTTCCGGAAGCTTCTTCCAGACTGTGCCCAGTTCCAACAGGTGGGGAACAGAGGGGAAGACATTGGGGGCACTGGGTGGGGGGGGGCGTACAGATTCTTGATGGCTCCTGGAACGGGAAAGCAGCAACAAGCCAGGGTGGGGCGTGTGTGCCTGGGCAAATCAGTGTGTGTGTGTGTTTGTCGGGGAGGAAATGTGACCCGAGGGGGTGGGGTGACAGCCTGTGTGTGTGTGTGTGTGTGTGTGTGTGTGTCCTTGGGAAGAATTCACAGGGACAGACAGGAAGAAAGGAACAGAAGTAAAATCTTAGAAACGTCAACTTGAATCCAGTTCGTTTCAATTTCACAAAATCTTACAGTGAGGACACATTGCCCAGTGTGGGACCTACAGTAGGCACCTGAGTGTTTGCTAACAGATGAATGATTTACCTCTCCTTTCTAAGGCCCCTACCCCCATGTATTCACTCTGGATCTCTCCTTCACTCACCACACAAACATGCACTGAGTGCCAGGCTCTCTGTCTGCCAGTGCCCAGGCAGGTTAATCAGCTCGGTCCTGTCCCCAGGGAGCTGCCCATCTAGTAAATGGTCAATTTTGGGTCCTGGGACAACCTCATCTGGAGGAATGGTCTGAGAAGCAAGAGGGTGGGTGGGTGAGGCAGGAGGGGTGTGTGTGTGTGTGTGTACGTGTGTGTCTGTCTGTAGGTGTATGGTATGGGGGAGGGAACTGCAGAGGACAGGAGGAAGAATGTGGCCTGGAGTGGGGTGGGGTTGGAGGCATGTGCTGAATTGCAGGAATTGGAAGAATATACTAAAGAATGTGCACAGCCCTCGGGGGTCTAGGGAGTTCATAGTAAAGCAGGGGAGGAGGGGGGTAAGATTTGGGGAATGGCTGTGGGTAGAGACCAGTTTTAGGAAATTATTGTAAGAATTTAAGTACAAGATAAAGGTGAAATTCTATGGGGACTCAATCTGAGGGGATAGGGGGATGCAAATATTGTTTAAAAAAAGAAAAAAAAAAGACAAAAGTGAATTGGGGGTCTCCCTGATGGCGCAGTGGTTGAGCGCTGGGCTGCCCGCAGCCTCTGCAGTGCGGGTTCGATCCCTGGCCGCCGAGAGAGGGTCCCACATGGCACGCAGACCTCTCCTGCCGCTGGCTGCTCCCCTCAGCAGTGTACTTCGTCAATCTGCCTGTTCTGCTTTCTGCTCTGGTTCTGGTGAATTCTCTCACCCTCCCATGCTTCTGACTGTACCCAGTGCTTGTATAAATAAATAAATATTTTTTTAAAAAAGTGAATTGGATGGGGCTACATCTTTGGGGTGGAGAGGAGGTGATGGCTATTCCAGGGATATTTAGGGGAAGAAAAGATGGGGCTTGGTGACAGGTTTGAGGTCTCAGCGTTAAAAGATATGATGAATGCTTTCCTAAACCAGGTGCTTCTCTCCTAGGTGCTTTCTTCACCTGGATACTGCTCAGGTCCTCCTCTGATTCAAGTGATCTGCCTGCAGATCATCTTTAGCCCTAGCTAAAGATTCCTCCTCCAGGTACTTCCCTAACCTAGTTGCCCTTGTAGATAGATACCTGCCTCCCCCAATCCCCTTTCAGGCATTGCTCCCCCAGACACTCCTCTGATATAGACACTCCTCCTCTGGCTATTTGCAAGCCCAGGTGATCTAGTCTCTAGAAGAACTTCCTTTAATTCTCCTCCACTAGGTGCTCTCCAGCTCTGGTGACTCCCATCCAGGTCATTTCCTTATCCAGGTGATCAGCACTTGCCTACTTCTAGGAGCGGAGGAGAATGGACAAGGGGTGTGCCTGAAGGGCTGAGGGTAGAGGTGAGGTGGCAGGGGATCCTGACTCAGGAGCAGAGGAGCCAGGACTGCCCTGGCTGCTTCTGGGAATTCCTGCCCTGGAAGGGGATGGGCACCATCCTCCACTGGTAGCCTGCACTCGGCTTGTTAGCACTGAGCCATTGCTGCTGTCCATCCTCCTAGAACCAGGACCTGCCTCTGCCTCCAGCCCCAGCCTCAGCTTGGTCAGCCTCAGCTTACTAAGCAGTGTAGCCTACTGGGCTCTGGCCCTGATCCAGAGACCTGGGTTCAAGTCCTGTGATTTTGGCTGAGTCATTCCAACTTTCTGGGCCTGGGTCCTCATTTATGGAGTGGGGGTGATGTTTATAACCACAGTGCAAGGCCCGTAGCTCATTGCCTGAATCATATGGGGTGCTCAGCCTGTTCTCTCTTCGAGTCACTTTTTCAGCCTCTTCCAGGCCTGGGCCCTACAATGTCCCCTTACAAATAGCCTGTTGCCACGCACTCTTTTCTCTCCTGTGGACAGCAGGTTATGGCCAGTTGTCTGTGCAGTGGCCTGACATGACTGGGGCAGTGGCCTGAAATGTGCATGCTGTGGCTGTCCCTGACACCCACATGTGTGTGTTTCAGGACTCTGTGCCCAGGGCCGCCTGGCATCTGGGGGTCTCCTTGGAGGCAGAGCTCTTCTGGCAGAGGCCAAAGCTCACCAGTTCTTCCAGCCCCTCCATGAGTGCAGCAAACAACAGTGAGTGACATTAGGAGGGACACTGAGGAGGGGTGTGGGTTCCCCTTATCTGCTGGGGGTGGGGGAAAAACCCTGCTCCCTCTCCTCTTGATTTCCCCTGGAATCCTGTCTGGAGCCCTATTCACACAGCTGTCCTTTCTTTGCAGCCACTGTGGGGCCCTCGGAGTTCCCCACAGCATCAGCCATGTCCCCTGGACCAATCACTGGGACCCGGGCATGGCCTGTGCTGGTAGGGGTTGTGCTGGGGGCTGTGGTGCTCTCTCTCCTCATTGCACTTGCTGCCAAATGCCACCTCTGCCGCAAATATTATGCCAGCTACCAGCACCGCCCACTGCCCAGGCCAGGGAAGGGCTTCCGCCAGGAGATGGGAGATGATGATGACGATGGCTTCATTGAGGACAATTACATTCAGCCTGGCGGGCTGGGGACAGGGAGTAGCAGGGACCACTTCTCCCTCTGAGCCCTGATCTTTGGACACCCCCGGCCCCCAGTGCCTGACAGCTAAGGATAGTGGATTCTACATGGGAACCACGAGCCTCAGGGACAGAGGTGGCTAGGATTTAAGGGATGACCAAGGCTAGAGCGATTCTCCCCTGATACTAGCCACCCAAGTGACAATGACCCTCCTGCTCAGCGACTCTCAATGGCTGCCTGCTGTTCCCAGGGTGAAGCCTACCTAGGGCCTGACTATGGAGATCAGGCCTGTCAGTCTCTTAAGTTTCTTTTCTTGCCTTTCCCTTCTTTACTCCCCACTTAATTATTTGTTATTCCTTCCCCTCCCACCAATCTGTTTCTTCATGCACAGACACTCCCATACTCCCTCCCTCCGCTTCTTCCTCCCCACTTCCTGGTTCCGTATCCTCTGTGACAGCGATGAGAAACCTTCTTCCTACCTGCTGTCTTTGCAGAGGCACCCAGGTGATCATATTTTAGGAGAAAACCAGCATGCCCCGTTTCTTATTGAAATGTTTTCCTATCAATGAAGTAGATACCTAAATGGTTGTGTTTTTCATAGGTCTTAATAAATCAGTTTTCATTTTAAATAAAAAGTCACTCCTTTTGCTTTCCTGACCTGGCACTTGTGAATAAAAATGTTCCTTGTCACAGTGAAAAACACCACGTGGACAGCGGCTCCCAACACTCCAGGCTTCTTTGCCATTCCCTTGCCTCCTGTATGTGAATTGTTATCACAATTTGCATTTACACCTACGGAGCCTCAGGGAGCTCTGGGGCCCGCAGCTGTGCCTCTTTCTGTCTTCAGGGTCTTGCATGGCCAATGCTAAATATTTGTCAGATTGGTTCAATTACTGTGGGCTAAGAGTGAGTAGTAAAAGGTGGGAGAAGGGTCGGGCGTGTGGAAGACTTTATCAAGAATCTTGAAGAAGAGAAGGATAGAACCATAGTTGGAGAGATTGGAGCAAGGAGGCAGTTTTAAGATGAGACGGGCTGCAAGCAATGGAAAGGAATGTGGGGAGAGAATGAAGGGGGCTGCTGACCTTGGAGGCGGGACGCAGGTGATCCCAGCTCTGGGGGTTCAGCGTGGTACCCCCAGCACTGTCACTTAAGGGTATTAATGAGGCTGCCTACCTGGGACTCCACATACTCCTCTCCTAGTTTCACATATATCAGGTTCTGGGCTGTTTCCTTCAACATGATTTCATTATGACATCAATGAACAAAAATGTATCCTGGCTAATATTGGACAAAACATTTTTCGAGGACCTAGTTTTGTTAGGCACCATTTAATTGCTTAAAGTTGCAGTTTCCAGGAGCCCACTGCCAATGTCAAGAGAGGACTTACACAGGCAGGCAACAGAATCTGATTGGGACAACTGTCTGCCACTGGCCCAAACTGCTGTGACGAGGGGGCAGCTCCTGTAGTGCGTAGGATTTGGGGATCCCACCTGTTCCAGGTTTTTTTCCCAGACAAGGGGAAGTTGTCATGAGTCTGGTGGCTACCTCATATGTGTGCAGTGGATGCAGTGTTGGCCTTTGGAAAGAGCCAGTGGAGGCGAGTGTTGGGATGACCAATGTAGGGAATGCTCAAGGAAGTCGAGGAGGGCTGCAGGGTAGAGTTTGAGGGGTGCCCTGGCAGTGATACGGCTGAATATTGGGATGCTGTGCAGGGATGGATTGGAGGGGAGAGCTGATGTGACTAAATATGGCTCAGAGAACAGTGTTCAGAGCTATGCAGGAGGCAGACCTGACTGGACTTGCTAACTGCTTGGATGTGGGAGCAGGAGGGAGTCAGCCAAGCTGCTTTGGCTTCTGTGGCTTGATGGCTGAGCTCACTGAGGAAGAGTTGGATTATGGGGATGGAGGATTCAATGTCGGATGCGGATTATCAGAGGAAGATGCCCAGGGCACCAGACAACCTGGCTGTGTGATTTCTCTGTAACTGCAGCCGGCAAAGCGGCAGATGCAGCACAGGGAGATGGGTGGATTCATCCAGGGAGAAGCTTTTGCTAGGAGGGTGGGCCCGAGGGCAGGGGCTAAGGTGTTGAGGACTATGATAAGGAGTGGGTGAAATGATGGGTCACAGAATCTTAACCAGAGGGGTGGGAAGACATGAGGGGAAAGGAAGAGAGGCAGAGGGACCCATGGCTTCAGGCTGCAATGTGGACCACGATGAAGTTTAGTAAGATGCTCTAAGTGAACAAGCAAGTCAAGTTTTCCTGACTGAGGAAGTACTGTCATAGCCCTGCCTGCGACTCCACCAGCTTTACCATGCTGCCTCTTTATAGTTGGGTGTGCAGATGCCTTTCCAGTGCCCTTTTGAACAGGCCCCCAGGGGGCACAAACCACATTCTTCATCTGGCACCATTCCCAGGAGAGCCTGACCCTGGCCTTGCCTGCATTGCTGCTCACCCAGACCGGCATGCTGGGAAATGTCCTTCCCCACTTTCCAGCTCTGTGTTTCTGTTTTTCTGTTTGTATCTTAAAAGAAATATTGATTCTGACCCTGTCTTAGTTGAAAGGAAATGTGATTTCTCTCCATATTACAGGAAAAGTGTTCTGTGGTCCTCTACTGGCCTAGGAGTTGGTGCTAATAGGAACCCAGGAAGAGAGAGAATTCCTGGGCCAGACAGGGCAGGGCCTCAAGATGGCAAGATTCAGGCCAAATGTGGGTAGTGGTCTGACTCCCCAACCCTTCCCAGTTATAGCTGGGTAGCTCCATGGCCCACACACACGCACACACACACTGCTGACCCTCTAAGCCAAGTCCTTCATCCATCCAACACAGCACCTACTATGTGTCAGGTCCATGCTGGGAACAAGGGATACACAGATGCGCAAGACCCAAACCCTGCCAGGAGGAGCTCACCATTTTAAAAGACAGACACACAGAGAAGGAATTGGGGACTGGTGTCCAGGCTAAGGTATGGGCATAAGAGAAGGACAGTTTACCAGTTGAGCGGGAGAGTGCTGGGGGAGACTCCCAGAGAATATGGCTTCTTAGGGAACTGGGTCTTGAAGGAGACACAGGCAAGGAGAAGGGCACTATGGATCTGAGACAGCACAGGGAGGTCATGCCAGTAGTTCAGGGGGGCTGGCTCAGGAGGCATTTTGGCTTTGGCTTTTGAAGGGAGAGGGAGGCCAAATTTTGTGAGGAAGTCTGCCAGAGGTGGCAGGCCATGGAAAAATTTTAGGCAGATTTACATATTCATTTTAGGACAGTTTTTCTGGCTCAAGGGTGGTGGGGTGTTGTGGATTTAAGAGGAGAAAAGAGAAAAATTCGGGAGGGTAATAGGGAGACTGCTGTATGAGTCAGACAAAGATGAAGCAGGCTCTGTGTAAGTAGTGACTGTGGGGGCACGATTACCAGGCAAATATTTATGGGGAAAGTCACAGAAGTTGGTGTATTTATTGGCCATGGGGTGAAGAGGGAGGGAGGGTGCTTTCTGGAGCCACTCTGAGGCTCAACCCTGGATGCTAGGTGGATGTGAGACAGAGGAGCTAGTTCAAGATGGAGAGGAGAGCCGTTCAGTTTTGCATGTGTGAAGGCTAAAGTGTCTGTGGAACACCCAGTGCTTCTGGACATGCCCTGTCATTTCTGCTCTTGACTCTCCCTCCCTGGGTGGGTGACACCCTTCCCCTCCTCCACAAGCTCACCATTTTTTCCAGGAGGCCGCCTGGTCTGGACAGCTAAGAGCAATTTACTCTTGCCAGAGCCTCTGTAGCTCTAGTTAAATGCTTTTGAGAAGCCACATCTGGCTTCCCATCTCCCTTGGGATCCTCCTTGGTACTTCATGTAAACTGCACCCTGCAAAGCAGGAAGTGAGGGAAATCAGCAGCCCCCATCTCTAGCACAATTCCGTGGAATTTTAGGGTTGCCTCCCAGGAAGGGGAGATCCCTTCCAGGGCTCACCCCAAGAAGGAAGTGACTCTTACAGCCCAAGGCGGTTACAAACTCCCCTCCCATGCTTGGGAGCCCTGAGCTAGGCACCTGTGCAGCAACTACACAAACCAGGATGCTCTGGTTTCAGAGGTGGGGTCAGGAGCTGCAGCCTCCAGAGAAACGAGATGAAAAAAACCCCAATACTTAAGGCCTCAGGCTCCCCATCCTCTCTCCACCCTCTGGAAGCTGAGCATCCCTTCACCCTAGCTCCCCTCCAGCTTCTTAGCACCAAAAGGAGAGGCCCCAGGTCTGACTGGAGAGGTCTTCACGGAACCTTTGCTCAGCCTGAGGGGGGCACAAAGTGTTCCCTCTGGGAGGGGTGGGGGAGGGCAGGAAGGGTGTCTAAGTGAGCAATAAAGACCATGACTGTAATAGTGAGCACTGCTTTTATTGCAGACGCGCCCCTTCCTTCCACATGTCAGTCCTCACAACAATCCCCAGAACTGTGACCATCACCCTCAAGAATGGAAGCTCAGAGAGGTCGAGTCACTTGCCTGAGGCCCCCAGCTGTGAGTGGAAGGGGGGGGGTTCCAATCCAGACCAGTCCCACTCCAGAGCCCATGTCCTTTCCACGTTGCCACCATTTACTCTCCTCAGGGGTGCTGGCACAGTCTGTGGGTGGGCAACAGTCACTTCTGTGGAAATTCTTGACAGGTGGCACCGGGCAGGGTTGGTTTTGAGGGGTGTTGGGAATAGGGGCCAAAGATCTTCAGGGATCCCAGACACTTCTCTGCCCAGAGACTCCAGACACAGACAGGTCAACTCTGACAGTTGTGGGACAAACACCAGGTTCCCGGGAGCCCCGCACTCACCCTCCTGAGGTGCGGGCATGAGTACAAAAAGGTCTTCATCACCTCATACAATCCACAGGCGGGCTGACTGTCTCGGGACAACCCACGCCTCATCTGCCCTCTCCCCTCCCCTCTCGCACACGTGCTGGCTCACACGCGTGACCTGGCACAGTTCTGCGGCTCCGAGCAGGTGGTGGGAAGGAAGGCTCCGGCTCGGTCAGATGAGATTGGCGATGCTGGAGGTGGTCTCAGGACGCTGGCCAGCAGACAACTGTCCCGAGATGCTGAAGACGCCGCCATTGTCCCTGGGGTCACCATGGGCAGTGGGGGTGGGGGCGCAAATAGGGGGGCAGTGTCCACTCATGCCCACCTGGTACAGCAGCAAGCCCAGCAGTAAGAGTGAGCCTGAAGCAGCCAGGGCGATGCCCACACACAGCATGGTGGCCAGGGGCCGGGTTGGGGCAGGGGCTGCGGCCAGCCCGGCCAGCGTCAGGCCCATGACCAGCAGCACGAGGCCGCTGAGTAGCACCATGAGGGCATCGGCACCCCCACCGCTGCGCAGCAGGGCCACGTGGTGGGGCTGGCGGATGCAGTTCATGTCCTGCACGGCCGAGCTCATCAGCTGCTTCACCAGGACCAGCAGGGCCAGCAGGCAGAGCACAGTGCCCACTGCCAGCCGCCACTCGCCTGAGCGGCTGCTGGTAGAAGAGAGCAGAGCCACACCGCCCACCCCGCAGCCCGCCACAAGGCCCACAGCCATGGCGAAGCAGAGGGCAGAGCGCCGCGGCTGTTGGGACCACCATAGCTCCACCTGCTCCGCCAGCACTTCCGGGGGCAGCCCTGGGCGCAGGGAGCCCTGAGCTTCTCCTCCAGGCATGGCTGGGGCTGGCAGGGTCAGGGCAGAAGGCAGAGGTCAGTGTCAGGGGTTAAAGGGTGCAGAGCATGGCCTACTTGGCAGCTAGAGACCCTGAATCCCGTTCCTCTCACAGTCCCGGGTCTGGTCACCATCACCTGCGTGGAGATAATCAGCTTGTCACCTCCCAGACCTCCCGCCCTCTCCTAGGAGCCTGGGGATGACCTTTAGGAATCTCCCCCAATGAAGCCTCCTTTCCCAGCCATGGCCCTTGGGCATGCCCCTCCAGTGACCCCAGGAGAGTTCACCCCACATAAAACACCCCCACACCCCTCCAGAAAGCCCTTTTGTCCAGCCCCTGACCTCTCTGGCTCCAGTTCTCTCGGTTGCCCGTCCCATCCTGGCTGGCCGAGGATGCTGGTACCACCGTAGAAGATGGAGGAAGAGTCAAAGATAAAGCCTCATTCAAGATCCACTCACATGGCCTCAGCTGTCACCGCTGGCTCCTGGGGGGAGGGGAGGGCAGAGGGCGGGAGCTTATGAGTTAACCCTTCCAGAACCAGCAGCCTGGCCCAGAATCTTCTCTCTGAGGACTGCATCTCCTTCTCTGTGGTTTAGGATGAGACCTCCAACACCCAACTGCCCCTGATAGTCTATCCAGTCTCACAACCAGGGCTGCTGGTTCCCAAGCCGCTCTCTCTCCAAACAGATCTCCCTCCCTTAAGCCAGTAGTCACTTTGATGTCCATCATCATCTCTCCTGCAAGAGAGATGATGATCATCTCTCCAAACTTCTCACTTTACCCCAAACCTGCTCTTCCTCGAGTGTTGCTCGCTTCCTCATTGAATCCACATTCACATCCATAGGGTGGTAGTCTTTAAATAATTCTCCCCCCAGGTCTCTGCTCTCATTCCCACTGCTCCTGCCGCATCACCTCCCTGCCCTATCTCCTCAGCAGCCTTCCGGCTCCCCTACTCTTTCCCATGCCCCCACCCCCTACCCCATGCCACCCTCTCCCACGCTTTCACTAAAGCCTAAAGCTGCATGAAGGAGAAAGGAGGGTCTGAAGTCCAGCTCTGGTCCTAGCACCTGTGGGCTCTTGGGCCAGGGCCTCACGGTGATTACTCATTTAACATGTCCTCCAGAGCCTGCCCACCTTGGCAGCTGGGCTCCCTGACCTCCAGGAACCCCATTTACAGCAGAGGTCCTGTCTGTGATCACTGCTGGCGGTGGGTTTGTCAGAAGGGGGCTCGGCGGGAGGGCCAGGGAAGCTCCCCTTAAGCTCACCTTTTAGAGCCAGGGTCCCCTTATCGTAAAAGTGAGGACAATAACATTTCTCTTGAGGGGTGGGGGTGAGTCATTTGACATCTGCATTTCAGAATTCCAATGGGAATTCTGGGGCCCCCGTAGATGCCCGAAGCATGTTTTTGAATAAAAGAACACTGCCCTCCCTTCCAACTAGGGTAAGACTCCTGCTTTATCCACAGGGCGCAAGTCCTGAATCATCCAGGGGTTTGACTACGTGGCTCTAGAGGGGTTACACCCCAAATGAGGGCTCTGTCCTCCACAGCTCCTCTGCAGGAGCAGTCTGGGGAACACAACTTGGGAGGGGCAGGTGTTGATGCTCCCAAGGGAGACGGGGGAGGGGCTGTGACTTCACTGGGTGCCAAGTGCTTGCACAGAGGTGCTGGGAGAGTGGCACCGGGTGGGGGTGGGGGTGGAGGGTCTCGGGGAACAGCCAGTGGGAGAAGGTAGGGGTGGGGTGAGGTGGGGGGCCGTGGGGCACTCACAAGAAGCCTGGAAATGCTGGATCCTCTCTGAGCAAACTGGGCTGGCGGGTAGGTCACTCCAGCTCCGTTTCCGGGGAGGTGCTTCACCTGCCTAACCTGCACCCAGGTGAGCCTGGAGTGGGGGAGGGGGAATCAACAGGTGTTTCTAAGGCAGGACTTGAGCGGATTGGCTGACGTGGCAAGGTTTCTTCTGCTGGGCTGAGGCATTCCTGGGAAGGGAGGGGCTTCTGTTAGCTGCTGCTAGGGCTCCAACACAATTCCCAGATGGGGCAGAAGCAGGAATGTGATCTATCTGCCCCAGCGTCTTGGACCCCACCCACCCCTAGCTCCAACCCCAGCTTGGCTTTATCCTCAGTCTCAAACCTAACCCCAACTCCAGCTGCAATTCAGACTCCAACTAGAACTTCCTTTCAGCCTCCTACCCCACACCGCGGCCCTAGCCCTGAATCTCAAATCCCAATCCCAATCTCAGCCCCATTTCCAAATATATTTCCAGCCCCAGCTGCAAAACATAACCCCAAATCTGACTTGAAACCCCAATCCCAGCTCTAAATTATGGAATTAGGCCCAATACCTTACTCTCTCACCCTCAGCCCCAACCTTGCCTCCCATTCCTGAACTCAGTCCCCAAATCTCAACTCCAAACCCTGCCTCAGTCCCAGATTCCACACCAGCTGATATTCAACCCCAGCCCCAGTACTCTACCTCTGGTGCTTTTCCCTAGGCTGGATATCCCACAAATCCCTTGCTCATTCTCAAGTGCCTGACCTTGGCAGGACTGCCCCACAAGTCTGGCACCTGCTGGGAGAGGGCGGGTAGGGGAGGGGTGGCTTAATTGCACTGGGAGGAGGGGTAGAAGCACTTAAGTAGGAAACAGGAACTTCCTTGCTTAAATCACTTGTAGGACACTTTGTGATAAATGCCACTCTCTCCACAGGCACACAGATCCCCTGCAACCCACTGGGCGTCCCTTGTCACTAACCCTGTCCCCCAGCCTGCACGCCTGTAGTTCAGTTCTACCTGCTCTGCCCTCTACTCTGCCCTTCTGGATGGTTTTGAAGTCAGAATTCTCACTACCTGGGTTGTTTACCACTCCCTTGTCTCAGTCTGGCCAACTTATTCAACTGAGATGTCACCTCCTCCTGGAAGCCCTTCCAACCACCAGGCTGGTTTAGGGGTCTCCTTGATGCATCTGTGAACTTTGTACTTTCCCCACAACCACTTTTCTTGCATGTGCTGTAAGTGCCCTTATTTGCTTACCGGTTATCCGCTGCAGACGCGCGGACCCCTGTTTTGCTAACCATCACGGCCTCAGCAGCTAGCATGTGCCTGGCACATGTGAAGTAATCGGTATTTGTTGAGTGAATGTGTGAGCTGACAGGTGCTGGGGTTTTGAGCAGGGTGCATGCGAGAGGAAGCTGGAAAGGCAGGTTTGGCAGAGGGTGCACAGCCCCTGGAATGCCATGCGAGGCATTTGGACTGTGTCAGGTGCCAGAAGGTTCCAAAGTACAGCAGAGACACAGTGGGGGCTCTGCTTCTAGTATCCAAATCTTATGCCACACACCCCCTGCTGGATGGGCCAAGGGGGCTGGTAGGAAGGAGGTGGTTGTGGGCAGTCACCCATGTCCTGGGCTCAGTGCCTTCTAATGCCTTTGCTCTTCTGATGTGTATGAAGTAGACAGGGAAACAAAATTGAAGTAATCTTTCCATTAGCAGTTCACAAAAGAATTACATTCAACCTGTCGGTGCTTCTCTGTATGGTGTGGACATGACTGAGAGTCCCGCTGTTATAGAGCAACCCCGATATTAAACGGGTTCCTGGCTGTGGGTCCTCACCCGCGCGCTTTAAAGGGACTTATGAATACTCTACTACAGACACACACAAAAGGGTTAATAAAAGGTTTATTTACAAGAGAAAAGGAAATAAGGAAAATGTACAACTCAGGGAGAAAATAGGGAAATAAAGTCTTTAATGCGTCCTACCCGATCCGACGACCTGGAAACCCAAAGTCCCTCTCAGAGCTGGCCGGACGCTGCGAGCTGGTGGAGAGCCCAAAATGGGGTCCCCCAAAGCCCACGTGTCTGCCTTTTCTATCCACCTGGCTGCTTAACCCCACCCTCAGGTCCCAGCCACCTTCCCTTTGGTGGTGATGGGATTTGGAGTTCCCAGTGTCTTTGGCTTTGGCCTGGGGTGGGGGTGGAGTCCACAAAGCCTATATGGAAATAGCTTTGGGACATCCTTTTCCCCCTAACACCGCCATAAGTCTAGGGCAGTACTGTTCAATGGAAATGACCATGAACCAGATATGGAATTTAACCCCTTCTTCTAGCCACATTACAAAAGTATTAAAAAACAGGTGAACTTAAAACACTAAACTTTTTATATAGCCTCCAAATATTTTCATTTGCATACATAGGTTATTAATTAGCTATTAGTATATTTACTATGCAAATTACTCATGAGTTATTTAATCTTGAAAGTACTCCAAGTACTTGCTCTTTACAGTGCATCTCAGTTCAGAGTAGCCACAGTTCAAATGCTCAGTTGCTACCTGTGCAGTGGTTCCCTTATCAGAAGGTACAGCTCTGGGTGTTCTTCCCCTACCCCTAGGGAAGTCTGGTTCCTGTGAATCTTGAGGACAACCACGTGGGCTTGCTACTCCTCAAAGTGTTACAGAGGTGTCTCCTGCCCTGGGAGAAGCAGGGGAGCAGAGATTCCAGCATGGCTCGCCCACTGTGTATCCCTCTTGCACATAACTGATGTTTATTTTATGTTCTGGTCCCAAAGAAGAGGGGTCAGTCCCAGCCAGACCCATGGTTCAGCTGTGCAAGAAATTTCCCCTTCTTTGCCCTGGAGGATTTGAAGGAAACTTTTTGGGTGAGGGGAACAAAGTTTAAAAAGCCATCAGTTTAAACACTGACTGGGTGAGTGTTCTCATTGTTTGTCTTATCAAAAAACTCCAGTTAAAGTGAATAGGCAGGCTCCCTGAAGGGCTGTTGAACTCTGTCCCCAATCATAGGTTGCTGGGGCAGCTCAGCCGGGAGGTAATGAAGGCCAGGGACAGGAGGTGGCAGTGGGTACAGCATGCTGCTCACCCAGCACACATTTACTATTTCCTTCTGCACCTGGCACTGTGGGCATGTTATAGAGCAACCCCAATATTAAACGGGTTCCTGGCTGTGGGTCCTCACCCGCGCGCTTTAAAGGGACTTATGAATACTCTACTACAGACACACACAAAAAGGTTAATAAAAGGTTTATTTACAAGAGGAAAGGAAATAAGGAAAATGTACAACTCAGGGAGAAAATAGGGAAATAAAGTCTTTAATGCGTCCTACCCAATCCGACGACCTGGAAACCCAAAGTCACTCTCAGAGCTGGCCGGACGCTGTGAGCTGGCGGAGAGCCAAAATGGGGGATTCCCCAAAGCCCACGTGTCTGCCTTTTCTATCCACCTGGCTGCTTAACCCCACCCTCAGGTCCCAGCCACCTTCCCTTTGGTGGTGATGGGATTTGGAGTTCCCAGTGTCTTTGGCTTTGACCTGGGGTGGGGGTGGAGTCCACAAAGCCTGTGTGGAATTAGCTTTGGGACATCCTTTTCCCCCTAACAATTCCCCCCTTTCACTTGTTGCCACCATTTCCATGGTGATGAAGATCGAATATATGGAGGTTGGGATGCAGTCTCAGATGAACATTTTTTCAGGTTACAGTGTGAAAGAAAACCAGTCTCTCCAGGTATTTGTCCATTGTGGAAAGCAAAAGTCCTCTACTCCAGGAAAAATAGTTCATCAGTTCAAGCCAAAAAAAAAAAAAAAAACATCTGGAGGCTTTAGCCAAAACAAGACAGCAGATATGTAAAAATCACAGGAAAAAAAATCTGAAAATGGTTCAACTGATGTAAAACACAAATTCCCAAGCCAGTTTTTCAACAGCAAATCGACATATGAAACAAACACACTGGAGAAACCAAAAATCACATTTGTGCTTATGGTAGCCAGAGCCATAGGGAAGCCCAATTTCCCCATGGGGCTGACTAACCACGAATGGCTCTGTGCTAATCACGTTGGGCGCCAAATCTGTTATAGGACAGGGAGAGGGGCAGCCCAAACCCCTCAAACCTGCCTATTCTAAATGGGTTCTGCCATCCGCCGCATCAACACAAAACATATGAGACTTTAATGGGAAGGAAATTTAATAAAACTAGGAAACAATACAGGTAAGGCAAAGAGTCTAGTTTCTAAATCAAGCACCCAAAGTTACCCGTCCCCTCGTGGGTAAAACTCCATCCATATGGGATCGGCCCAGAACAAGGCCCCAAAGCCTGCCACAAGTCTAAAGCATCTTCCAGTGGGGACCCACAGAAAAGGGTCAGAAACAACCAGACAAGCCCAAAAGGAAAAGAGCAAAATCAACATCAAGATAAAAGCTGCCATGGTCACCTCTCCACGGGTCTCACCCACATCTGTGTCACCCAGTCCACGACCAAAAGACAAGCACAGTTTCTTCACGTGTCTCTAGGATCCACGCGCCTCCTCCAGGTCTCCTGGCTCCATCCTGCTTCCTTCCTCAGTCTCTTCTCTGCAGCTTCTCCTCCTGCTCAGCTCCACCCTTCCTTGGGTGGGGCAGGGAAACTCCCCCTTTCCTGGGGACCACCCTGTTACAGGCACAGTGGGAAGAAGTCCAGTCCCTGCCCTCCTGCAGGGCAGCCTGGGAGAATGCTGGGCACAAAGAAACAGGTTGTGCTCCATGACTGACCCCAGACAGATATCCTCTGGAGTATCTGCCCCATTCACAGTAACCATCTTCACTGCAGGGATGAACCCCAGCAGCCAGGATTAGATTTTGTGACCCACTTCCATGGGTAAAGTTGATTGGATAGAGGTGAACTCAAGCTTGCCCCAAATAATCTCTTGACAATTTAAAATCAGACTAGACATTCCATTTCAGACTTGGGGCTTCTAATGAGAGATGCTAAGGTACCCATATGAACAACGTGAGTATGAACAATAAATACAAGTCCTCGTACAAGACTGGTCATTGTAGGGGATCAGGTACAAGGGTCCCTTCTGCTTTGTGGGCACAACAGTGTTTCTTCCTTGTAAATCTGCTCCCCACTCCAGCCTGGGGAAGTCTGACTGCATCTTAGGCATGCTCAAAGCATAAATAATCTCCAGTGGTCTAGGGGAACTCACCCCAGTGAGCTTGTGGAGAATATACCCCACTCCTCATCCTGAGATGCCTTCTTTCTCACTTCTTACTCCAAACCCAGAGCAGTTACTAAGGGAGGTCTTTCTGGATATGCAGATTCTCCCAGGCCCACCAGAGCCCTCAGGCACTCCTGGGGAGCAGCTTGTTGCCAATGCTGGTCATGCTTTGTGTAAGAAGCAAAGGGAAAGATGGATACTGATGCTAGAACCTCCTGTTGGTCAGGGTCTTTGGTACTGGGAGAACATGCTGCTGAGGAGGCGCAGCTGGGCAGCTCATAGTGTCTGCCAAGGCATTGCCAAGGCTCTAGAAGAAGGGCCGGGGAGCCAATGATATTTGGGGCCCAGAGAGAGGGCAGCCGCCAAACTCACCAGCTGTCACACTAGAATTGAATGGGTCTCCAGATATTAGCCATGGACTGCATGTAGAAGAACAAGAGTGTAGCCCATATGCCAATGCCCAGCCACCTGGGTGACGCGCAGGTCTCTAAGGCTGCTGCAGGGGAAGATGATTTCCAGGCCCACCCTGT